ATTAGATGCTTGTTGCAACTACTACATGTATAGGATCAGCCAGGTTCTACATTGTGACACCCAATCCCCATTAGATGCTTGTTGCAACTACTACATGTGTAGGATCAGCCATTTCCTACATTGTTACACCCAATCCCCATAAGATGCTTGTTGCAACTACTACATGTATAGGATCAGCCAGGTTCTACATTGTGACACCCAATCCCCATTAGATGCTTGTCGCAACTACTACATGTATAGGATCAGCTAGGTCCTACATTGTGACACCCAATCCCCATTAGATGCTTGTTGCAACTACTACATGTAAAGGATCAGCTAGGTCCTACATTGTGACACCCAATCCCCATTAGATGCTTGTTGCAACTACTATATGTATAGGATCAGCCAGGTCCTACATTGTTACACCCAATCCCCATTAGATGCTTGTTGCAACTACTATATGTATAGGATCAGCCAGGTTCTACATTGTGACACCCAATCCCCATTAGATGCTTGTCGCAACTACTACATGTATAGGATCAGCTAGGTCCTACATTGTGACACCCAATCCCCATTAGATGCTTGTTGCAACTACTACATGTATAGGATCAGCCAGGTCCTACATTGTTACACCCAATCCCCATTAGATGCTTGTTGCAACTACTATATGTATAGCATCAGCCAGGTCCTACATTGTTACACCCAATCCCCATTAGATGCTTGTTGCAACTACTACATGTATAGGATCAGCCAGGTCCTACATTGTTACACCCAATCCCCATTAGATGCTTGTTGCAACTACTACATGTAAAGGATCAGCCAGGTCCTACATTGTGACAACCAATCCCCATTAGATGCTTGTTGCAACTACTACATGTATAGGATCAGCTAGGTCCTACATTGTGACACCCAATCCCCATTAGATGCTTGTTGCAACTACTTCATGTATAGGATCAGCCAGGTCCTACATTGTGACACCCAATCCCCATTAGATGCTTGTTGCAACTACTACATGTATAGGATCAGCCAGGTCCTACATTGTGACACCCAATCCCCATTAGATGCTTGTTGCAACTGCTATATGTGTAGGATCAGCCATTTCCTACATTGTTACACCCAATCCCCATTAGATGCTTGTTGCAACTACTACATGTGTAGGATCAGCCATTTCCTACATTGTGACACCCAATCCACATTAGATGCCTTTTGCAACTGCTACATGTATAGGATCACTCAGGTCCTACATTGTGGCATCCTATCCCCATTAGATGCTTGTTGCAACTACTACATGTGTAGGATCACTCAGGTCCTACATTGTGACACCCAATCCCCATTAGATGCTAGTTGCAACTACTACATGTGTAGGATCAGCCATGTCCTGCATTGTGACACCCAATCCCCATTAGATGCTTGTCGCAACTACTACATGTATAGGATCAGCCAGGTCCTCCATTGTGACACCCAGTCCACATTAGATGCTTGTCGCAACTACTTCATGTATAGGATCAGCCAGGTTCTACATTGCGACCACCTGATCATCATTAGATGCATGTTATATAACCAGGACAAACCAAATCCTGTTAGCAACACAAACATTCAGAAAACAAAACTCTTAACAAAATCTTAATTTAATTTTTTTATTAAGAAAATAAATAACATGATAACACTATCCATACAATGAGATGATGGCGATGAGGGCGTGTGATTTGCCCACGTTTCAAGGTTCCAGTGCCAGGTACATTTGTCACATCATGGAACAAACTGGTATTTGGGAATGTTTACTGCAGTCCCGAGGTTTTGTTTGTTTGTTTGTTGTTTTTTGCCGCACTCAGCAATATTCCAGCTATAGGACAGTGGTCTGTAAGTAAACGAGTCTGGATCAGACAATCCAGTGATTGACATCATGAGCAGCAATCCACGCAATTGGGATACGATGACATGAATCACTCAAGTCAGCAAGCCTGACCACCCCATCCCGTAAGTCGCCTCTTACCACAAGCATAGTCGCCTATTACAGCAAGCATGGGTTGCTGAAGACCTATTCTCCCAAAATCTTCAAGGGACTCATTACTATGGTAACAGAACCTTCACAACTAGAGAAATGATGTTGCTGTTTGGAAGGAATGAATCATAAAATAACAAGAAGTCTCAGCTTCCGTAACCAAAACAGTGTGGGAAACCAAGTACACATGCACCAAACATCAGCTGAATCTTCCTACAGGGCGAGTGAGACTCACCCATCAAGTGAGACTCCCCCAACAACAGGGCAAGTGAGACTCACCCATCAAGTGAGACTCACCCAACAACACGGCAAGTGAGACTCCCCCATCAAGTGAGACTCCCCCATCAAGTGAGACTCACCCATCAAGTGTGACTCACCCAACAACAGGGCAAGTGAGACTGCCCCATCAAGTGAGACTCACCCAACAACACGGCAAGTGAGACTCCCCCATCAAGTGAGACTCACCCAACAACACGGCAAGTGAGACTCCCCCATCAAGTGAGACTCCCCCATCAAGTGAGACTCCCCCAACAACACGGCAAGTGAGACTCCCCCATCAAGTGAGACTCACCCATCAAGTGAGACTCACCCATCAAGTGAGACTGCCCCATCAAGTGAGACTCACCCAACAACAGGGCAAGTGAGACTCACCCATCAAGTGAGACTCACCCAACAACACGGCAAGTGAGACTCCCCCATCAAGTGAGACTCACCCAACAACAGGGCAAGTGAGACTCACCCATCAAGTGAGACTCCCCCATCAAGTGAGACTGCCCCATCAAGTGAGACTCACCCAACAACAGGGCAAGTGAGACTCACCCATCAAGTGAGACTCACCCAACAACACGGCAAGTGAGACTGCCCCATCAAGTGAGACTCACCCAACAACAGGGCAAGTGAGACTCCCCCATCAAGTGAGACTCACCCAACAACACGGCAAGTGAGACTCCCCCATCAAGTGAGACTCCCCCATCAAGTGAGACTGCCCATTAAGTGAGACTCACCCAACAACAGGGCAAGTGAGACTCCCCCATCAAGTGAGACTCCCCCATCAAGTGAGACTCCCCCAACAACACGGCAAGTGAGACTCCCCCATCAAGTGAGACTCCCCCATCAAGTGAGACTCACCCATCAAGTGAGACTGCCCCATCAAGTGAGACTCACCCAACAACAGGGCAAGTGAGACTCACCCATCAAGTGAGACTCACCCAACAACACGGCAAGTGACACTCCCCCATCAAGTGAGACTCACCCAACAACAGGGCAAGTGAGACTCACCCATCAAGTGAGACTCCCCCATCAAGTGAGACTGCCCCATCAAGTGAGACTCACCCAACAACAGGGCAAGTGAGACTCACCCATCAAGTGAGACTCACCCAACAACACGGCAAGTGAGACTGCCCCATCAAGTGAGACTCACCCAACAACAGGGCAAGTGAGACTCACCCATCAAGTGAGACTCACCCAACAACACGGCAAGTGAGACTCCCCCATCAAGTGAGACTCCCCCATCAAGTGAGACTGCCCATTAAGTGAGACTCACCCAACAACAGGGCAAGTGAGACTCCCCCATCAAGTGAGACTCACCCAACAACAGGGCAAGTGAGACTCCCCCATCAAGTGAGACTCACCCAACAACACGGCAAGTGAGACTCCCCCATCAAGTGAGACTGCCCCATCAAGTGAGACTCCCCCATCAAGTGAGACTCCCCCATCAAGTGAGACTGCCCCATCAAGTGAGACTCACCCAACAACAGGGCAAGTGAGACTCACCCATCAAGTGAGACTCACCCAACAACAGGGCAAGTGAGACTCCCCCATCAAGTGAGACTCACCCAACAACACGGCAAGTGAGACTCCCCCATCAAGTGAGACTCCCCCATCAAGTGAGACTCCCCCATCAAGTGAGACTCCCCCATCAAGTAAGACTGCCCCATCAAGTGAGACTCACCCAACAACAGGGCAAGTGAGACTCACCCATCAAGTGAGACTCACCCAACAACACGGCAAGTGAGACTGCCCCATCAAGTGAGACTCACCCAACAACATGGCAAGTGAGACTCCCCCATCAAGTGAGACTGCCCCATCAAGTGAGACTCCCCCAACAAGTGAGACTCCCCCATCAAGTGAGACTCACCCAACAACAGGGCAAGTGAGACTCATCCATCAAGTGAGACTCCCCCAACAACAGGGCAAGTGAGACTCACCCATCAAGTGAGACTCACCCATCAAGTGAGATTCACCCATCAAGTGAGACTCGCCCATCAAGTGAGACTCGCCCATCAAGTGAGACTCGCCCATCAAGTGAGAATCGCCCATCAACGCAGATAACTTAGAGCATCATCTTTCGAACACCAAAGATTGTACGCATTGGTGTGAAACTAAATCAACGATACAATGTACTATGGATTTATTTTGTATCAAACCAAAAACTATTTCAAATACCTGCACATGAGTTTGGTTTACAAAATGGCAGTGATCAAGATTCAGTTGTCCACTTCTATCATGTCAATATCAACAATTGACACCAAAACAAAAGAAAAAAGTACCTTTCGAAAAGAATAATCACTTTGCTTTTTTTTCCAGTTATATAAAACTTTGCCCAGATACTTGATCCTGACGTTGAGTGGCTATATCCTTCATTCAAGGCCTTTCAAGCAAGTCAGTTGGTTTACATGACCACCTGCTGGAGGGGGCACATTATTTCCACACCGGTGTCATCACAGGGACCAGGGTCTATCTGATGACTTAATCCACGATAACTATTGTCACATCACTAGCTCCTAACATTAACTCCTAACACTGCCTGTTTGTTTCCAGTTATTGGTAGCAAGTTAAGTTTGAAGTTGACATTGATGCATAGTTTTGTTGTTGACTGCCTACTTTGAATTTGGGGCCAAATATTTGGAAATCCAACGGACAACAAATAACAGACCTGATGTATCGTATACTCCTCATAGGGGGATCCAGAGAGGGGGGGAAGGAGGTTCCCCCACCTACCCTCTTTTTGAAAACCCAACATGGTATGTTGTAGACAGTAAAATTGACTGAGAAAAATGCTGGATCAGACCCCTCCCTTCTAGAAATGCTGGACCCGTCCTTGCTCCTTGTATCATAAAATGCATGATACGATACCGTTATACCCTCAGCGTGTGTCAACTACGTGTTTATACCCCTGCACTGTCTGTACCACACTTTGTACCACCTTGTACCACCACATCAGGATGACACACTTAGGGAGCAGACATAGTAGATGGACATATCATCAACGGCCGTTTCACTCCACACCTGTCAAGGTCACACTTGATGCTATACTGGGTCATCAGGTTCACTTTTGGGGGCATTTGACATCTGAACATCAAAGTCAGAACTGAGGAATTCCTCCGTGCCAAACTGAGGCGTCGCATGGTCACCGGACTCCACGAGGGGCAATGATTGGTCAGGTGCTGACTGAGTGAAAGCTGATGTTTGATCTTCAGTGTTCGTGTGAGAATTATCACTAGTCCTGTCTGGGAACGACTCGTATCCCTCGGCAATATTGCTTTCACTAGTAAATGTATATGAAGGAGTCCCATTTGTTTCACTTTGAGAAACTGAAGATTGTTCTAATGAATGAAGTTGATCTGTGGAGGTGCTGGATGTTGATTGGTCAAATGCAGATGTGCTGACTTGTGATTGATCAAATGCAGAAGTGCCGACTTGTGATTGGTCAAATGTAGATGTGAGTGGTGATTGATGGACACTGCCATTGGTTGATTGTTCAAGGTCATGGTCGGGTGTGTCTGGAGAAGACACATCAAGGTCGATGCCGGGGACGACCTGCATGGCCTCGACCCCAGCCTGGGCTGCGGGACTGCTGATATCTGTGTCGGGAAGGGGGTCGGTCTGGCTGCTCATGTGCTGCTCGGTGTCAGACCTGGGCTCACTCTGATTGGATGCTGGACTCATGTTATCAAGGTCAGGAGGGGGACTGGTGAGGTGTGGAGGATTAATGCTTAATTCATATTCAGGATCAATACATTCGTTCTTCACAATAATCATGGGCATAGCATCCCCATCGTCCTGTGTGTGTACAACCCGCCCCCCGCCCCCACCATCGCCAAGCCCCTGGTCGTAGTTCTGATACAAGTCCATGTCTGACTGCACGCTATGATCAAATTGGTTGCTATGGTAACTAGAGGTTGCATGGTCGTCTTCGCCAAAGACTCGGTCAAAGTCCACCTTGGGAGGAGACCGGATGGTACTTGGTTCGGAATCGGACATGGTCTGGGTGCACATGTCTGCTTTCCCCTGACCAGTTTCCTGAGCCTTCTGGTCAACCAGCACCAGCAGTGGAGACTTGACATCCTTGACTGCCATTGGCGGAATTGTGCCGGAATTGACAGCGTATGTCATGTATTCCTGACAACACATTGTCAGGTGTTCCATGCGAAGCATGAGAGAGATCTTGAGAAGAGAGAACGCGTTGTTCGGATTCAAGCGGAGGATGCCGTCGTAGATGTAGGTGAGGAACTGGTAGACGATGTCCAGCTTGATGTCCGATGGCATCTTGAGACGCAGCTCGGTGGCAGGGTTGAGGTGGTCGAAGGATGCACGCAGGTAGGGGCTGGCAGCAAACAACACCATGCGGTGAGCCTGAAACATGGAATCAGGACATTCCTACAGTGTGTGTTCACAGAGCATTTAATGTCCCGAAATTTCATTTGGAACTGATTTTGTTAGGTTGATTTTACAAATGTTACATGTCAAACCACCATGACCACCAAATTCTCAAACACCTGCAGATACACATTATCAAGAGACATATTCATATGCAGTGAAAAGTCCAGTTTCCAATCAAATTCCAATGAATGTTTTTCAACCACTCAAATTGCAGCACATACTCCATTCATTTACAATACCCGACAATCAGGGGTCACTTGCAATTCATTTACTGTAACACAAATAAAATACCTGTACATTTTCAACAAATCATTATATGGCTGAACCAACGCCAATGTTAACACTCACTCTCTCCTGCACTTGTCATGGACTACTGGCTGCCAGGCAGGTGTACCGTGACCCCAGCAGTGCTTACAACCAATCAAAATGCTCCGATATTCACAAGAAACAATCATCATCCATTCTACGACAACACCCAACTACACAACGTACCTGTAACTTCATGCCTCCCACCATGATGGCAGCGTCCACAAACTTCCCGGACTTCCAAAGGGCAGACAACTCTGTCATGATGTGAGAGCTATGGTCAGGGTTGAGGAATGCTCTCTCTGTGCTGTCAGATTTTGGCTCTGAATTCCTACTCTGACTAATCTGCTGTTTTGACCTTGCTATTTGTCGCTGAGGTGACCTTGACACTTGTCGATGCTGCATGGGCCGAGCTTGCTGGGTCGACATTTGCTGGACACCAATCGGTCTCTGTGGAGATCGTACAACAGACCGAGGTGCTGGCATGCGATGCGATTGGTCGAATGTTGACATGTTCTGTCTCTGAACTGGGGCTTGACCCATCTGTCTGTTCGTCTGTGGCACTGCCCGCTGAGTCTCTAGTCGGGGTCGCTTGAGGGGCGGGGCAGCTGATGTGACCGTGGCAGATGGTGCAGGCATCCTCGCCCGGGGCTGCATCCCTTGTGGAGGACGACTCTGCATCCCCTGTGGAGGACGGCTCTGAAGCCCCTGTGGGGGTCGGCTCTGCATCCCCGGTCTGGAGGCCACCTGCGAGTTGCCATGGTGAATCTGCTGTGCTGGAACCGAGAATAAACCACATGAATGACAGATGATTAAGACTTAACTACTGAAACAAAGACTGTTCTTCATGTATGCCCTGCAAGATTATTTACCCTACTGGGATATTGAGGAAAGCAGCATTAAACAACAAACAAACATGAATATACAATGCCTTTTAGACAAGCGATCAAAACTAGATTTTAGTTCTCTAAATTGCTATTTGAAAATATGACATACCAAATCTTATTTAAACATGTTAAAAGAATGGAAAGACAGAAATTGGTGTGTATGGTATTATGCTACTATTAACAATATTCCAACAATCACGATTGTCTGAACACGCCCAGTCTGAACGCATCCATTCTGAACGCCCCCAGTCTGAACACATTCATTCTGAACACCCCCAGTCTGAACACCCCCAGTCTGAACACCTCCAGTCAGAACGCCCCCAGTCTGAACGCCCCCAGTCTGAACACCCCCAGTCTGAACGCCCCCAGTCTGAACGCCCCCAGTCTGAACACCCCCAGTCTGAACGCCCCCAGTCTGAACACCCCCAGTCTGAACACCCCCAGTCTGAACACGCCCAGTCTGAACACCCCCAGTCTGAACACCTCCAGTCTGAGCACCCCCAATCTGAACAACCCTAGTCTGAACACGCCCCCAGTAAAAATATGCAGGACCTACTTTTCTGATGTGAATTATTTACTTTCTACTTGACATCAGTACACCTCATATCTGTGAGCAGACCATATTCCACTTGCCTGACACAACATGAACAGACTTCTCTAGAATAAATTACCAGTTTCAAATGACTGCAAAATACGAGCAATGACCCACATGACAGTGCAACCTATTCTCCCTCCAGAATCCCCACAGGGAGACAAGCATGGTGTACTAGAATCCCAAAAGGGAGACAAGCATGGTGTACTAGAGACCTATTCTGTCCAAGAATCCCCACAGGGAGACAAGCATGGTGTACTAGAGACCTATTCTGTCCAAGAATCCCCACAGGGAGACAAGCATGGTTACTAGAGACCTATTCTGTCCAAGAATCCCCACAGGGAGACAAGCATGGTGTACTAGAGACCTATTCTGTCCAAGAATCCCCACAGGGAGACAAGCATGGTGTACTAGAGACCTATTCTGTCCAAGAATCCCCACAGGGAGACAAGCATGGTGTACTAGAGACCTATTCTGTCCAAGAAACCCCACGGGGAGACAAGCATGTTGTACTAGAGACCTATTCTGTCCAAGAATCCCCACAGGGAGACAAGCATGGTGTACTAGAGACCTATTCTGTCCAAGAAACCCCACGGGGAGACAAGCATGTTGTACTAGAGACCTATTCTGTCCAAGAATCCCCACAGGGAGACAAGCATGGTGTACTAGAGACCTATTCTGTCCAAGAATCTCCACGGGGAGACAAGCATGGCGTACTGGAGACCTATTCTGTCCAAGAATCTCCACGGGGAGACAAGCATGGTGAAGTAGAGACCTATTCTCCTAAAGAAGCCACACAGGAAGACGAGCATTGTGTACCAGGACCTCGCATGGAACAGTGAAAATATATTATCCACAAACGTGTTTTCCCAGACTTTGACGCCAGTAGTGGGTATAACTCCTTGTAGAATCGGCACCCAGGGACCGGTCCTGCATCAGGGTCAAGGTCACCACAAATTCTCTGGACACGATAGAACTCCTTCTTTAACTTCTTGATCTTCTCCTTGCACTGGACCCAGGTGCGCCTGATGCCGGCCGTGTTGAGGAGGCGGGCGATGTGTTCGTACACCGTCTTGTTGCGGTACAGGTGCTTCAGCTCCTTCTGGATAAACGGGTCACTCCACAGTTCAAACAATGTCAGCACCTCAGATTCTGACCAATTGTAGGCACGCTTCTGAGTTGAATCCTCCATTCAAAAGGCATATATACAAATGCAGGTTTTCAAAATACCACAGAATCCAAACCTGGAAAGTCTTTGTCCCTCGAGTTAGAATCCCTTTTGTTATACAAGCAACAGGCACAAAATGTCAGTCTGATTTCTCGCAATCTTCAACCACCATTCTTAAAGTAACACAACATAATAGGTTATTCCTTGTAGTCTTTATCCCATCTGTGATATATCAGTGCGATGGATATACAAGTGCATATATCCCCTCCAAAATGATCCAATCAGAATACATCCCAACACTTTCTATAGCAGCAGGAACCTTCCAACAAATCTATTATTCCACATCTAACACAATAATACAGTCCCAGTGTTGAACTATGTGCACAATGTGTCACTATGTTGAAGCTATCTCCAACAGACCTCACCCCATCTGTATGTCTGAGGCAGCAGTCAATCTGAGCCAGCAAGCCCAGGACAAACTCCACCTCCTCGCACAGCAAACCTGCTAATGTGTGCTACATTCTGGGCTGGGCTGAAGATGAGGCTAAATATAGCTTGTATTGATCCACCAATAGCGGGCTACAGGAGACAGCTAGCTGGGCTAAGATGGGTTATCATGTGTGACCTGCAACTCAACTCAGGGTGTGGACCTCCAGATGGTCATGCAGTGCCAAGGTGGGGTCGGGTGGAGGTCGGGTGGGGTCGGGTGGCGGTCATGTGTGACTGCTACACCCCATAGATACCGACCTACACACACTGGTCAGTCAGACAGGGAGACAGCTAGCAGGGCCCAGATTGGGGTCATGTGTGACTGCTACACCCCATAGTCTTGACCTACACCTGGAGGTCAGTCAGACAGGGAGACAGCTAGCAGGGCCCAGATTGGGGTCATGTGTGACTGCTACACCCCATAGATACCGACCTACACTCACTGGTCTGTCAGACAGGGAGACAGCTAGCAGGGCCAAGATTGGGGTCATGTGTGACTGCTACACCCCATAGATACCGACCTACACACACTGGTCAGTCAGACAGGGAGACAGCTAGCAGGGCCCAGATTGGGGTCATGTGTGACTGCTACACCCCATAGATCCCGACCTACACTCACTGGTCAGTCAGACAGGGAGACAGCTAGCAGGGCCCAGATTGGGGTCATGTGTGACTGCTACACCCCATAGATCCGGACCTACACTCACTGGTCTGTCAGACAGGGAGACAGCTAGCAGGGCCCAGATTGGGGTCATGTGTGACTGCTACACCCCATAGATCCCGACCTACACTCACTGGTCAGTCAGACAGGGAGACAGCTAGCAGGGCCCAGATTGGGGTTATGTGTGACTGCTACACCCCATAGATCCCGACCTACACTCACTGGTCAGTCAGACAGGGAGACAGCTAGCAGGGCCCAGATTGGGGTCATGTGTGACTGCTACACCCCATAGTCTTGACCTACACACACTGGTCAGTCAGACAGGGAGACAGCTAGCAGGGCCCAGATTGGGGTCATGTGTGACTGCTACACCCCATAGATCCCGACCTACACTCACTGGTCAGTCAGACAGGGAGACAGCTAGCAGGGCCCAGATTGGGGTCATGTGTGACTGCTACACCCCATAGATACCGACCTACACACACTGGTCAGTCAGACAGGGAGACAGCTAGCAGGGCCCAGATTGGGGTCATGTGTGACTGCTACACCCCATAGATCCCGACCTACACTCACTGGTCAGTCAGACAGGGAGACAGCTAGCAGGGCCCAGATTGGGGTCATGTGTGACTGCTACACCCCATAGATACCGACCTACACTCACTGGTCTGTCAGACAGGGAGACAGCTAGCAGGGCCAAGATTGGGGTCATGTGTGACTGCTACACCCCATAGATACCGACCTACACACACTGGTCAGTCAGACAGGGAGACAGCTAGCAGGGCCCAGATTGGGGTCATGTGTGACTGCTACACCCCATAGATCCCGACCTACACTCACTGGTCAGTCAGACAGGGAGACAGCTAGCAGGGCCCAGATTGGGGTCATGTGTGACTGCTTCACCCCATAGTCTTGACCTACACCTGGAGGTCAGTCAGACAGGGAGACAGCTAGCAGGGCCCAGATTGGGGTCATGTGTGACTGCTTCACCCCATAGTCTTGACCTACACATGGAGGTCAGTCAGACAGGGAGACAACAGGGCCCAGATAGAGGTCATGTGTGACTGCTACACCCCATAGATCTTGACCTACACCTGGAGGTCAGTCAGACAGGGAGACAGCTAGCAGGGCCCAGATTGGGGTCATGTGTGACTGCTTCACCCCATAGTCTTGACCTACACATGGAGGTCAGTCAGACAGGGAGACAACAGGGCCCAGATGGAGGTCATGTGTGACTGCTACACCCCATAGATCTTGACCTACACATGGAGGTCAGTCAGACAGGGAGACAGCTAGCAGGGCCCAGGTAGAGGTCATGTGTGACTGCTACACAGATCTGTTAATGGCAACATATACCCTGTGACCACTACCCTCCAAATAAACGCTGATTCGCTCTGTCATGTTTATATATTATAGATCTTTCCAGATTTTATCCAATTGGTTAGGTTAAAAACAAATTGTCATTTGATCACTTTGCATTAATTCATACTCCCTTTTGATAATACATGCATAGTTCATGCAACATCTGATATTAGTGAGTGAGTAAGTGAAGTCATCACAAGCTAGTGATTGATATTAAAGGTTTTCATCTAGGATTCTAAACTAATTTGCCTGGCATTTCATTTCTTCATTTCCTCAATTGAGAAGTATCTCCCAAACAGGAACTTCAGTGAGACAGCATACCATATAGATAGCAAAGAATCATCTGCAAGACCGTCACTATATACTGCTCCGCTGTTATCTGACCTCCACAGGTCACGCGTACACAGCCACAATTCACACCTTCACAACATTCTCCTGGAGTCTGATGATGATTTTGTACCATCCTCCACAAGCTCCATCAGAGTGCAAAATTACAAAATATCATGGAAATATTTTATGCCCCTTCCCAAACTATCTAACCAAGTTCACCTAATCTATTTTGATATTAAGTTTCTAAGTACCTATGATTTGTATTTCGTCTGAACTTTGTGTCCCATCAGCAACAGACTGTTGGAGTGCCATTGGGGGAGGGAAGAGAGACACATTACATTGGGGGGATGGTTATTGGAGGTTTACAGGGTGTTTCACAATTTTTGCGATGCACAAGGACGTATTTCGATACGTATCACGATATATTATATAATTCTAAATTCTGAAATCGGACAGACTGCAATATTTGCATCATTAATTTTGCCATCCGTTTGTTTCAGACCAAAGCGCTTCCACCATGTCCACAATATGGCTTAACCTTCACATTTCATACAACTGACCACATCTCCATCTTGGGGCCCCAGATGTTGTTGAAGAAAATGTACGAATGCACATGCACGTATTAAGGAGCTAACTGGGAATTAACCTCTACCTTCGCGAATTTGCAGTTTGCAAATATGGAATCATTTTGAAAATATTTGCCAAGAGTATAATATTAAACATAGGAAAGAAATTGCTATTTGGAATCACACGATATACCAAGCATCAAAAATGATATTATAATACGTATCTTGGACGGAATGGACCTCAATTTACCAATTTACCAGAAATACCGGGCACCCTTATTATATTGTATGTTATATTATATACGTAAAAATCCAATAGCATGCTGCCGATATAGGAGATGTTCTATACGTCACAATTTGTATTTCAAACCTAACCAGATACCTTTCTTCAGGAAGTCAGGGAAGGCAGCATTTCTGCCTGTAAACAGAGTTGCCCGAGTTTGATCCGGTGCTGCAGCCTGACCTACTAGGCCACCCTCACCCATGCCAACAACATCAGCCACACCTTGGATGGGGGACCTCCGGACGGACAGGGTATGGTTCTCGCTTCCTGAATTACACGTCGTGTTGGGGGAAGTCACTGATTGCTTGTCCATATCACTTGTTGAGAATCTCCGGGAATTGTTTCCAGTTTTCTCTACTAAACTGAGTCGAGTCGCTACGTCTCTCCTGAATCTGGAAGCTCCATCCTTACTGATCTGCATCGACTGTTCAATGGACAACCTCCTCCCGACAAATCTGTTCACACAAGATGGCTGAAGGGAGTCCCTTTCCTCCTCGGGACGAGAAACCGAATGACAATTTGAATTGAATTTGTCTTCCAACTCAACCCCTGGGTCTATTTCCTTCTTGATGTTAAACAAAGACTTGACTGTCTCCTCATTGAGAACTCTCTGCACGGCCGCTAAGTCCTCCTGGCAGGGTGACGACAGCGTCAGGTCCATCAGGTGGTTGTGGTCATCGCCGACCTTCGTCAGTACACCGTTCGCTGTGACCAATGTGGCTGAACAGGTGCGCGTGCAGCACCGCCAGTAGATCTTATGTCCAAGAGCTCGTACATTGTAATAACGATACCCACGAAACTGAACAGCAGTCTTGCCTCTGCGAGTCGTGATGAACTGGATGCCATCGCACTGGTCCATTTCAGGTCAAGGGCAGGTCAAGGTCAGCCTGGTAAATAAGGACCTCAATGAAATATCGTTGGCATGCCAGACATAGTTTGCTGAAGGCCAACTGAACAATGATACACCCAATGCATGCTTGTGATGGATGACCTCTAACCCTATGTCACAGGACCAAATTCTTGCACAATGGAATATTGTCTTGTAGATAAAAACAAGGTAAAAAAAACATGGAAAAAGGGAATAAATATGTACCATGTGCAAACACACAGCAAATAAATGTTAGTTACAAAAACAGGAACAGAAATACAGGTACCCAAAGTGAGAGAGTTAGTAAAGTTGGAGACAACCAACCTACCTCTTGCGATTCTTTGCTGTGCAAAACTTGGTCTGAAGGTGTAGCTGGGATTCCTATTGGCTGGTGCAGGAGCTGGATGTGGGAGAGAGTTGGGGGGACCAACGAGGTCAAGGTCCAGTCTGTTGACTATATGGGGCTTCACTTCCTGGATAGACACGGAGGGATCCACCACACTGGACGTTCCACTGGGCTCCCCTGCAACAAAAGGGCAAGGTTAAACAAGTCTTACAAACTCAGAACCTCATTCAAGAAACTACTTAATCTGCTATCGGGTCCATCCGGAACCCCATAGCATGTGTGCATGTGTTAAAGGTGTCTTTACAGAAATAAATTGTTAGATCTCTGAAAAGAACAATTTATTCTAAAACAAAATGAGTTGTGGGAAAAAAACGTCTAGTTTATTCTATTCAAATGTCTTTGCAGGCTACCAACAAGCCCCTGCAGACAGAATTACAACCAACCCAGTGGAAATCTCCACATTACAATTGTTTCACCGGCACGTAGATCACGCCAGTGTGTCATTCGTTTAATGAACAACGCAGGTGCTTGTTGAAACTTTCACAACTACGACAAACTGATAATCTTTTGCTTTCTCTGCAACACACAAAGGCTGAAATAGGAGTGTGATGGCATTTCAAGAGGATGAGAACGTAACACATCTATAATATACACCTTCCAACTCTTTTCTGTGGGTTTATTTTCAAAATATTTTAGTTATAAAAATTCACTCTGTGTGTTAGTGTGTTTGCATGCATGTGTGTGTGAGTCCCCCACAGATTTACGACACCTTACATGTCAAATGTGACCATGGCCAATAATGTGCATGCACCCTGTTTTCAAAGTCTTAGACACACCTCTTAAATGACATGTTCTCAACGGGTCTTCAGCAACTCATGCTTGCCATAAAAGGCGACTATGCTTGTCATAAGAGACAACTAACAGGATCGGGTGGTCAGGCTCGCTGACTTGGTTGATGCATGTCATCGTATCCCAATTGCATTGATCGATGCTCATGATGTCAATCACTGGATTGTCTGGCCCAGACTCGATTATTTACAGACTGCCGTCATATAACTGGAATATTGTGAGGGCGGCGATAAACACAAACAAACATGTTCTCATATACCAGTATACATGGTACATCCACATGTTCTCTTATAAAAATAATGTGTGAAGCCCATTTCTGGTGTCCCCCGCCGTGATATTGCTGGAATATTGCTAAAAGCGGCGTAAAACCATACTCACTCACTCTTATAAAAATAAGAAAAGAACTTATCTTATGTATTCTTTAACTCAGACATTTCAAAAGATATCCTATAGGATATCAAAAAAACAAACAACACCTATTTATGTCATTCATTTATCAAATCAAACAATAAAAAAATAATTAAATTTCAGAAATTTTACCAGTAATCAAATTTCTCTGACATCTGTAAACTATTATGAAAATACTATGTTTCTAAGACTTATTCTCTACGTAGTAGTAAACTTTTTTAACAGTTCTTGCATACAAGTGAACAAACAATACACACATAAAACTTGATGTTTCACATTAGACTATTCTATAAACAGGGTTAGTCGTAAGAGGTGACTAACATGATCGAGTGGCCAGACTTGGTTGATGCATGTCATCATATCCCAATTGCATGGATCGATGCTCATGATGTCAATCACAGGATTGTCTGGTCCAGACTCGATTATTTACAGATTGCCATCATATAGCTGAAATATTGCTGAGTGGGGTGTTAAACAATAATCAATCAATAAACATGACAGCACCTTGATTGTCTCAAGCAACAAAGTATCATTAATTATAAGACGTTTAAATACAATACAATGCGTTCACACATAGTTTGTGAATGTTTCATATGTTCTACACAACGAAGTAAAAGATATATTGTACATTCATCATGAACCCATGCGCCGTTACATGACAATACGTTCGATTGTCTATTTCTAGCAACGTAGTATCATTACTTTACAACACGTTGAATCGCATTATTTTACAATGTTGACGATTACATTATTTTTCCGTTAGAAGAAGGCTTAAAACTTTATTAACGTGACCTTATCATTTATTATACAACTGATTGAAACATCGGATTCAACATCGACTAAACACAAAAAATAACAATCTGGACCACATGACTGCTTATAAGGTGATCGTTGTTTGTATTTAATACAGTGAAATAAACGTTAACGCATATTAATCTGACCAATAACCACAAACATAACATATTACTTTAATGCCTGTAATCCGCACATCCACTAAGCACGGTTAACTCCCGTGATTCACTTGTGATTATTTATGGCAACAAAGCGCTTGTCATCTCGTGCGCACAGTCCACTTCCAAACTGTCAAAGCCGACCGTCAGCAGAGTCGTTCTTACCTTCAACATGTATGAGCTATCAAAGTTTAATCTAGACACGAATGTCCAGCGCATGGCACTGTGGTATCGTACGTTAATACTGACAGCAGAAGAACTGTCAATTTCCCATTTCATCCCCAAAATGTCGGTAACTCCCAACCGGAAATGCACGATTCCAGTCGATGATACCTCGGGCTACCTCGGTCCCGGGAACCAAGAGGGTGTATACCGACCCACCCATCAAGCGCAGTTTCATTTATTGAGAAAAAAAATAATCACTGCCCCTCCAAGGCAAATCTTGAAATTTCTTTCCTGGCTGTAAAAGCAAAAACACATTAACCTAATCTTTCGAAAATAATATAAATCATTTTCCCTATCTGGTTCCGTGGAAGTAATTATTCTCTTTAAATAACGGAGCCAGGCAGCGGTGGAAGACGAGGCATTGGGTTAATAGCCTACCTTGGTGCAGCAGTGTACCGAACAGGACCGGCACGGCGCCCGGAAGTTTCAACCCTCCGATAAAATGCTTTGAGCAAACACGACTATCCCTGGTCACCTTGTCCTGCATGGTACCAGCCTCCATCAGGCTCTCCACCCACTTGGACGCCAGGATTTGGTGCTTCCACGGTATACGATGCATCTTAACCTGGTCTGTGTTCCCAAACCGACTGTAACACCCATTTGCAACGCAGTGTTTGGGCATGATTGAATTGAGAACGTTCACAAAGCCAATATAAACCAAGAGCCAGACAGTTGCCCGGACCAGTCACTAGAAACCAGTGAGGCTCCCGAGGGGGGTCCTGATCCACGGAACCAGGGACCAGATATGATTGTAAAACCATCGCATTAAAATCAGATATTTTACTCGAGTATATACTCTATGTTGATTCCGGGGTAGACTATAGGAATATCGTAAGATAGCAATCTTGAGGAGCACCCATTTAATTTTATTTGGGGGGGGGGGGGGGGGGGGGGGGATTATTTCATTGATGTTACTATAACATAATGCAAAATTTAGCACAATTTAGATTTAGATGCAGCTCACACAGGATAGTTGAAGTTGAAGTTGGCAGGCACAAAAAAATACCAAAATGCTTAAGATTACGTAGACAATGGTCCTTAAATGTAGTCGAAGATGAATTTTAGTTTTTTGCTTGTATGTTGTAAATAGGATTATTTATGGAAAAAAACAAAATACTATGTACATCCCAAAAATACCGGTTTATGTCTTTAATATCACATGTGAGCAAAACGGCTATACGAAATCTACCTCTGTTCATATATCATGCCATGTTATTAAGAAATGAATCCTTGTAACATTGTTTAACCGCTTCCACATTGTCATGTATTCTGTACTATGTGCCTGTGGTCTTACAGTTATATAGGAATAAACTGAATTGAATTGAATATGCCCAAAATGAATAGTTTATCGGCAGTGGTATATAAAAATCACTTAGACGCCAAACATCAGATTGGATTGCTATTCGATAGTAAACAAATCGTTTGTTAGATATAGCTGGGACCCACACCCCCTACCAACCCCAACACAAATCAAAATGCATGCTCCCTAATGAAAGGGGACGAGACTGATCGGGAGGTCAGGCTCGGTAACTCAGATGACTGCGTGTCAATCACTGGATTGTCTGGCCCAGATTATTTACAAACTGCCGAGTTCGGTGTTCAACAACAATCAAAAATATAATAATTCAAAATATCGGGTTCTGCTTCGGATTAATTTGTTGGATGGCCCGGTCTTATCGTCATCTTCATAAAAAAATCATTTTACCTCACAATACATTAAGGCGTTACTACTATTCTAAATTATCCTGAAGTGACGCAAGATAAAGTGACAAAGTTGGTAAATTGTTTTACGATGTAACCGCTACGATTTCCGCTACTCACGACGGTCCGTAAATAGTCGAGACTCGGCGTGGCAAACAAGTGGTTGATAGCATAACACTCAAAATACCACGGCAACCATACAGGTCCGACACTGTGTCCTCTTAGCGATATTGCAGCAATATCACGGCGGGGGCTTCACACATTGTACCTATGTGGCGAGCAAACGCTTAAACCACCAGACTACCCCACCGCCCTGTACTGCAGTGAAGGTATATCACCATGACACATGTATTGTCGTTCCGGACATATAAATATGATATCTATTCGCTGTACCTGTAAGAATGGTTAAAACATTTGGTTTATAAATCCGACACTCAATCTAGTGCAAAATGGAACAGCAATTTATTTAGTTGGAGAGTAAAAGAACATATACCACAAACGCATTCTTTTGTTCGAGGCTTTTGAATTGTATCAGATTTCTTCATTTGACTGGAACGTGGATAATATAGAATTCCATTAATCTGATATCCCTGAACATAGGAAAAATCGGAACGAGTCGTAAAATTAGTTTTGAACAGTTTTACATATGTGGTATGTTACGATTATTTGATTTTCACAAACTAAAAGATGGAAAATGTAAAATATAATTTAACGTAGATACTACTGCCCGTTCAAGAGCCTCAGGGCCCACAATTATAATGTGTAGCTCGCTCGACCAGTCATTCGCTACACGCCCAAACAAATCGATAATGCTACACCGCCATAGTGCAACAGTCTAATTTGCAAACATGTGCAGGATACGCCCAGGAATGGTTAGCTTCGTTCACATTTAGCCGCTAATAAAGAAATAAACTCACCAAAGACAGCGGTGAATGTTGGCGGGTGGCCATGTTGTCCCGTCACACAGGTCACCGTGTCGAACACAGTGATGGCTTTTCCCAAGCATCCGACTCGCTTACAACGCCAGTACTCGCGGGTCCCCCTTTCCCTGTAGCGTCTATACTCGTACCCTCCTAACACAAGCCCACGGCAATTCTTGGAAGTCCGGATGAAGTGAGAACGAACTTTCGTCTCCATCTTTGAATGAGCTACATTCACTGTAGCGCGTCTACGCGAGCTAAATAGGTCACGTGACATGTACAAGAATGTATGGAAGCCCAGCATCGTAATTACGCGGTCATAAAAGCAAATGTACTGATAATATCGCTTGTTTCAATACAGTGTACACAAACTTAGAAAGTATTATCAGTCAGAATGCACCGGGGACATCCTTGCTTATAACATAGCAACTCTGAAGAGCAATCTATATTCTGTCTCTGCATGTATATTAATATTAACAAGGACAATTAATGGTGGGAATGTTTAGACCCATGGTAGTCAAATATCTTGAAAAATACCATGTACATATTCATACCCCAGTTCCCAAACCATTTTAACCAATTTAGAACAGTATTTTATCGAGGAATTACGAAGGAGTTGAGAATCGGCTCATCTGCATACTAATTACTATAAATAGCAACGCTGGCTTCAAGCAATGTCGCGACAATATAGCATATGTTACACCCGAAATGGGCTTCACACAATCGAACCCGGACCTTCGGCGTGATGTGCGAACGCTTTTACCACCAAGTTACCCTACCACCCCTTCGGTATAGTTGAAGATGATTCGTTGGGGATATGAGGGACCTACGTCTGATAGCAGCACTGGAGCCGAACCTATATAGCTTCCACAGCCAGACTATACACAAGTAGAGGTGCTTCTGCAATAAACGGGGCGGTTGGGTAGCCTAGTGGTTAAAGTGTTCGCTCGTCACGCCGAAGACCCGGGTTCGATTCCGCACATTGGTACTATGAGTAAAGCCCATTTCTTGTGTCCCCCGCTGTGATATTGCTGGAATATTGCTAAAAGCGGCGTAAAACAATACTCACTTACTCACTCCGCAATATACACTAACAAACCTTCACAACACCCCGTATCCTGATCGTAATGTTCCGCGGCTTCCACTGCGCCATCTACAGGCATTTGCACAGAACCTTCACTCGCAGAAGGCCATTGAACAATTCCGTATCTCATCTTGAACCGCAGAAGCCAACCCTTAGAATATGCAAATTCAGATATTCCCAGTTCACTTCCCAAAGTCTGAGCATTTTCTCGTAAAATGGCGTCGGACATGGGCGCACCTGCTGTGACGGCCTCCGTGTATCGGAGAAACAGGGCTGCCTCCATGTCCGCGTGACGGGCATTCCTGATCTTCTTCACGCCGGGCTGCACGAACGCATCCTCCCACTTCTCACGCTGACTGAGGATGCCCCCGACAGTCCTCCGTACAATCGGAGTACCCCACATGTTGGAAAAGGCTGTGGCAATCTGCGACTGGGACGCCTTTGGATTTTTTGTGGCAAACTCCACAATTTCCCTCTTCTGACTGACGTCTAAAATGCATCTTTTGATGGGAGTGGAGGATGTGCTTGGGCGCCCTTTTTGCATTTTAATTAGCGCCGCACTCTAATCCGAAGTAAAGAAGGCAAATGATAAAAGTCTCCACACATCAAACGTTAATTAAAACAACAAAAGATCCAAGAGCTAAATCACAGTGGTCCGCATGATGAAGGTAAATCAATTCGCGAAACGTCATAGGTGTAAACGGCGCTCTTGCTGTGGTCCGTGAATAAGCATTTACAACAAAGATGGCGGTTGACATTGACCGAGACTCGATGAAACGCCAGCACCACGAAGCAGCACTTTGGCAATCACGTCGATGACAACACAAGATCCGATATTAAACGCAAACACTGTAACTCCGAATACAGCCTTCGCAGACAAAGCAGTTAAATAGCGGGCCACTGCAGTTCACTTCCATTAAAGCTTCGTTATAACACCAATGCAAACCCGAGCTTGGCGCCCTCGCTTCTCGCTACCGCCAAGTAGGTCACGCCGGCGCTAATGTATGGTGCTCTGTTGAGGACATATTTCGAAGGAGTATAGCGGCGTCAAATTAACATCGGATTTGAATCGTGGGAATGTTGCATCAACTATTTGATATGCAACATTTTTTCTCTCTCTTAATCCATGGCTGTTTTACAGGGCCCCGCCCGTTCCACAAAGTGAACGTAGTGCTACGACGGCCGTAAGTCGTATATCAAAGTATGGGAGTTAGGATTGTCTTAGAACTGCGATCGCTTTCTGGAACGTGGCCCAGGTGAGGATTTTGTTATATCATATCTTATCTAATATATTGAGAGCCACGGATGGCCCAGTCGCCTATATCACTGTAATTTACATTGCAGAGTTGCCTCCCTTACAGCGTGTCAGAATCCATCTTCCCGAGGCAAGAGAGTTAACCGACTTTCAAAGTCCAGTTTCCACCCTTGCCGAACCTGGCAGGAATTACTGGGCTCGATCGTCGTGCCACCAGTGGCTACTACCAGTTATGTCCCTTCTAAGCCTCTCCTATGGACCAATCAGATTCCACCTCTCGTATCACTTGCGTTTGTTTCACACAAAATGGTGGCGCCGAGTCAGGACGATCTGATCGATAATCAAGATCTATATTGTGATAAAACAGGTCTTACATCGCGAAATGCATCAAATCACGTGAGCACCGTGATTAAAAACATGAAACGATTTGGAAAATATCTGCTGACGAGTTGGCGGTGCACATGCTTTGCAAATCCTGAAATCGACCGAAATCTGCACGACAGTTTACGAACCGGATTTCGATTTCGGTGCGCGATGTTGATTGGACTATGCATAGACTCGTTAGTCCAGCCAAAATGTAACTCCATAATACCAGCCTAGTTCGGCAAGGATGGAAACTGTACAGTTAATTCCCTTGCCTCGGGAAGATGGTCAGAATCCGATTGTTGTGGATTCGATTTCCAGATTGGCACAGATCATGATTCTTGCTTTGTCATGCCCGGAAAACCAACTCGTTGGTTACAGCAAAACAGAACAAGCAATCAGCGTTATCACTATCCCCCGTTATGGGGCACATTAGAATTTGGTTGATACTTATCAAGACTGAGTTCGAAAATCAGATTTTCTCATTACATAACGCCGCACCAGTCACTTCTAAAGATACTACCAGTGAAGATCCGGGGAGAGAATGTGTGTTCAGCAACCTATGCTTGCTGTAAGAGGCGACTATGTCCGGGGGGGGGATATGTGTTCAGCAACCTATGCTTGCTGTAAGAGGCGACTATGTCCGGGGGAGAATATGTGTTCAGCAACCTATGCTTGCTGTAAGAGGCGACTATGTCCGGGGGAGAATATGTGTTCAGCAACCTATGCTTGCTGTAAGAGGCGACTATGTCCGGGGGAGAATATGTGTTCAGCAACCTATGCTTGCTGTAAGAGGCGACTATGTCCGGGGGAGAATATGTGTTCAGCAACCTATGCTTGCTGTAAGAGGCGACTATGTCCGGGGGAGAATATGTGTTCAGCAACCTATGCTTGCTGTAAGAGGCGAGTATGTTTCTGAGAAACTTGTTCCCATTGCAGACACTATGCACTTTGTAAAATAAAATCAAGGGCCGTAACTGTGTATGCTCAAAATCTTAAAACATGTTGCAAGGGAAGTGTAGCTCTGAAAAAAAATAACGTAACCAATTTTCGAACACAGTCTTGACAAGTATGCCATAGACAAGCAAGCAAACTGTCATTCATGTCACTATAGTAGTTTCTGAGAAACATTATCCCCATTGCAGACGCTTTGAACTTTGTTGAAAAGCACGAAGCAGAGGCTATAACTCGGTACAAATGAATTTAAGACACAAATGTTCGAACTCATTTGAGATCATGACCAGTAATATCAGTGTGCAAAATTTCATTCTTCTAACTTTGAGAAAATTCGTCCCCTTTAAGAAGCAGACGGACGGACCGCGGGGATAAAAGCCCGTTTACTAAATTCTAGTAGCACTATAGGATCTGAGACATCTTGCCAGATATATTGTACACTTATCATGTAGTGAGTGAGTGAGTTGGTTTAATGCCACTTTTAACAGTATTTCAGTTATATCACCTCGTGTTAGCTTAATGTGGGTGGAAAGCCTGAAGTGATGCAGGTCCACTTTGGGGAAACCATGCATATGAGTGAGTGAGTATGGTTTTACGCCGCGTTTAGCAATATTCAAGCAATATCACGACGGGGGACACCAGAAATCGGCTTTACACATTGTACCCACGTGTGGAATGGAACCCGGGTCTTCGGTGTGACGAGCGAACGCTTTAACCACTAGGCCACCCGACCGCCCCTACTAGCATGTGGTTTGGAGAAATACACTAAAACAATCATACCGTTCAAATCAGCCTTAAAGCCCACTCACTCACTCACTCACTGGAAGGTATGGCGTATTTTTAGATGATTAAAGAAATGTAAGTGTGAACAAGCAATGGGTTTCCATAATCGGCCATGTGGAGCCTCCATCTCGACGTGACGACCGGTCACTGATACTGCTGGCCTGATGGTTCATGAAACAAAGAATCCCCTATAGAATGGTTACAGCACAGGGGTCCTACCTGAAACTCCGAAACCGGCTATGTTGGCCTGGAATCGACTGGATTCGGGTCTGGCAGCATTGAGGGGGTTGAAGGGCACAGGGTCAGGGTGTTCGGGGGTTGGGCCTCGGCCTCCCACGAAGTGCTGAAAGAAATGAGAGTACGTTACGGACTTTCGAAAACTGCAGCAAATACACCAATTGGCTTCTGTCTTAAATTGGCACAGACTCAAACGTCTGGCCAAACGTTCGTTCATCCGTCTAACATGATTACAAAATAAAACTGAAAACAACCGTTGCTCACGCCCCTCTGAAAATGACTAAACGAGGGGCCTGATCTAATGACACAAAGACAGCTCTCGATTTACAGTGATGAACCCGATATTGTTGGTCAAATTGTTACGTTGAGTAAATTTGAACCAATCAGATCTTAGAGGCTGAAGCAAGATTCGGCCATCATCCATATGAACATGCCTCTATAATCAATATATTGTACATCTTCCTCGTCCGTATTACCCGTTGATGTATGCTGGATAGTGGTCCATGTCGAGTTCTCACTTGACCTTCACCTTGACCACCAACGACCTGACCTTGCAACGCTTGACCTTCACCTCGTTTTGCCATCATTTCACCTTCAACCTTATCCCTCGCGACCTGACCTTGGCCCGCTTGACCTTGAACTCGTTTCGCAGGTCCCGTACCGTGTTTCATCCGCCGATGTAGATTGAGGTTGTCCTTTCGCGAGAACGCGCGACCGCAGTTGTCGCAGAGGAACTGGCGGGCCTTGTCATGAACTCGGGTGTGACGGGCGAGGTCGTACTTCCTCTTGAAGCTCAAATGACAAAGGCGACATGGGAAGATTTGCCGTGTCTCATGTATCGTCTGCATATGGCGCATTAGAGATGCCCTTGTCGTGAACTCCTTGCCACAGGAGGAGCACGTGAAGCTGTCATCAGCAGAGCGTCCTGGGAAATCCATCTCCATCACACGAGCGAGGGTGACCTTGGTTGGCTGATAAACATCGATATTTTGCTATGGCGTCCTGACTTGTGGATCCGCACAGCCTAGATTAGAAATCGTCCTGAGTGCAACACTCTAGGAACAAACACACGCCTTGCTTGTGAGGACCGCGATGGCCCTGGCTGGAACCCGTGCATGTATGTGTGCAGTGCGCAGGAGTTAGAAAGTAGAACTAAAATTGGCTGATAAACAACGCCTAGCTCGTGATTATGCTTGCCTGGTGTCGACCAAACAGCCTTCAAGGCGGCGCGCGTTCAGACAGACGCCCCCAGCTGTTGCCACAGCGACGGGACTAAACTGAGTAAGTTCAGCGTTCAGCCAGGCGTTCAACACAACAATACAACAGATCTGAGCGAGTCACAGTCCCCTGCTACTCCCCTCCGTCCCCGGTATACCGTCTCCGCCCCGGTATACCGACAACAAAACCGATAAGTGATTTGTTTAATTAATGATTTGTGACATAATCAAAGATCTTTCGAAAGGGGGAAAATAGGCTGTGTGTGGATTATACTCTACCTTGGAGCATACAAAGTGATACTTCCGGACGGAGAACACATTGAGTTTCTCGACTGGTTTCCCGCATGCGGCCAGCCACCTCAGACACGCGTCACGTCTAGTCTTGGGTTTGGGGAAAGGATGGAAGCTTACGCCGGCCATCGACTCCTTGAAATGATACCGCGTGTCACTCTTACAGGCGCCCCACATGCACCGTTTAACCATCGTGTCCTTGCTGGGAAACTCGAGTTTTGAACAACAACTGCTGAGGGCGGCGTACAATGTCTGCTTGTCTGACCTCGCCTTGCATCCGGGCTCTTGACGTGTCAGTCAGCTGGCAGTGAGGCCCAAGAAGGGTGCTCTACTATCGAATTCTCATTGTCAAATGTGCTGATTAAATAGTTGACTTTTGTGGAATTTTATTTTAGAACCTGGATCGACGTAGCTTTTTCTTAAATCGTCTTCAAAAAGCTCAAATGACTTTTAACATTATGTTTTTTTAAAGATATATCAGTTGTCATTAACTGAATTTGAAACATTTTAATAACTGGAAAGTTGAATCTGTCAAACCCGAACCCTGAATAATCCGAACCTTTGAATATTGTCTGCGTTCCATGACATATTATAAAATACAACGCTGAATTTGTTTAAGCGACAGTCAGCAATATTCCAGCGACACGGCAGCGGCCTGTACATAATCGACTCTGGACCATACAAACCAGTGATTAATATTATAAGCAACCCCACCGCTGTCGGGGTACGATGATACCCAACAAATCCCCGAAGCCCGACCACCCGATCCATGTATTCTTCAGACAAAACTAGGTTGGTCGAAATAATATAACCCAGCATTGTAACAAGACATGTGACCCAGCTGGAGAAAAGGGACCTTATGGGTGCTGGGATACAAGTGTGCTATGACGTCAACTTACTTCAGTCAAGGTCGCCATGTGTGATGTCATGTATCTCTGTAATAATTAGAAGCTTGTGAAGTGTATTTTAGTGTTCCGAAGATGATGAAGTTTTAAAATTTAATGAAAAGTCAAAATGTGATTTTTCACCCATAAGGTCTCTTATCTCACGGTTGGTCACAAATATCTTTGAAATATATAGTTTCATTTCAGAGACTGTATGAAAGTCTGTTCTACGAGTGTCGCTGTACCACGGTTTGCACACAGACCCCCGCCTTTTGTGAGGACCTGAACAGATGCCACGTGCTTGTGGAGATTTTAGTTCTACTCCAGGTACCACATCCCATAGGAACGAATAACACGTTGAACGCGAACACGAGTTGCAAGTAATTCCATGTAAAATGTCAAAAGGAACCTGAAATAAAACAAATATCCGAAATCCCGAGCAAGTCTAGATTTCTTCAGATGTGAAAATAAAGACATTCCGTTATCTCGCCTCCTTTCTGATATATCAAAAGAAAACTGAGAAAAAAATGATATCTCTAAATATTTCCAATTTCAGACACTAAATGTAAGTATAGTCCTTACCTTTGAACAAACATAATGATATCTTTTTATTTTGTCTAAATTGAGTTTGTTGTGCGGCCGACCACAAGCCTTCACCCAGCGTGCACAATCCTCCGTCCTGGTTTTGGGTTTTGGGAAAGGGTGAAAGGTCACTTCCGTTTCCTCTCTAAACATGTAGCGCGTGTCACTGTTACAGTCCCCCCAGACACAGTGCTTCGTCTTGACCATGGTCACTGTCCTCTGAACGAATCTTCTGTACAGAAGTATATGACCACACGCAGCAACAACGAGGCTGCAGCTAGGGCAATAACGATATAAGAAGAAAATATATACTCCCTATGCCCACGTGATGGTTATTGCCGAGGAGTAATGGGTCACGTGACAACACAATCTACTGTGGGGCGCTGGACGGGTGCGTAACTTAAGCGTTAAGTTGGATATACACGGTAAAATGTAGGCTACATGTATACACATTTCTGTTGTGCTTTTCGCGTCTGGTCTGCGCTAACGCAACTGTAACATTTTAGTGTTATAAACCTATGTTCATCCTAACGATGCAAATTATGTATACATGAATGCCCGTCATTGAGATAAGTATCAAAAGAAAGTGTAACAAGAAGTAACTTCTGACAGATGAAGGTACGATGAAACGAAACACTGGTTTCTTTCTCGTTTCTATACCCGGATTGTTTTTCAACACTAAGTTGTTTTGTTTTTGTGTGTTTGTTTGTTGTTAACGCCGCAACTCAGCAATATTTCAGCTATATGACGGCGGTCTGTAAATAATCGAGTCTGGACCAGACAATCACGTGATTGACATCATGAGCATCGATCTACGATAACATTAGGATACGATGACATGTATCAACCAAGTCAGCGAGCGTGACCACCCGATTGCGTTAGTCGCCTCTTACAAGCATGGTCGCCTAGACCTATGTCGGATCTGTGTACAAACAGGACAGATGTAAACTTGTTTCAAGAACAGTTATTTTAGAGCTACAGAAGTTTCTTTCTTCTTGTTGGTGGTGTTTAAGTGAGTGAATTGTACACCGCATACTACAGTGGGACCCAGGGAAACCAAAAAGTGGCTTCACATATTGTACATATGTCGGGAATCAAACCCGGTCCTTCGGCGTAACGAGACAATGCTTTACCCACTAGGCTCCCCGAAGCCCCTGTCAGCACATGGTAGGACAGAGGGTAGTGTGTTTCACATCGTGGCCACACCTACCGTCCTGTAAACAAAACGGTAGCACCGTGTGTCAACTTAAAGTGTGTAGAGTGCCCGCAGGGCGTCGACGTGAACCACTGCCCTGGAACCACGAGGATGGTTATGGTGCTGACAAACCAGGATCATAACCAGGATGAATCCTAGATTCAAACCTACGTCTAGCGGATCCTTGTAGTTCTAAAGGGACTTAACTCTGCAGAGCATACTATAGTGGCCATACGTGTCCCGAGTAAAGGTTGAGCTTCAAGAATCGGGCCTTTATAAACACTTGGCAGTCCACATTTGTTTTCAGTCCACATGAGCATTCGGGCATGAAAGCATCTAATCTCCACACTCACCTCAATTCGAATCCTTTTCGTACTTCTGCTGTTCATTTTTGTAACTTTATGAAAGTCGAACAATGTTGGTACAGCATTCGGCTTAAGCAGGCGTTTCCGCTTCCCTCCCATGCCAAGGTCGAGTTTCTTGTCCGGCAGGTAACAACCTGGACTGAAGTGGTCCGAGCACACCCGCGCATGCTGGGTCACGTGGGGGTTTTCCAGCCTCATAGACACCAACCACTGTTCTAGCAACGCTGCTTGGTTTAAGGGCAGACGGTGGAAGCTGACCCCCCTCTCGTAAGCATCGTTTTTGTTGGAACACCCGAACGCCATGCAGAACACCATGGTTAAGGTTAAAGGTCACCACGTTATCTGGGATATTGTAATAACTGTTCACGTTACCCAATGACGACACCAAACGTAACTGCGTGGGACTTAATACTATAATACACTGTGTACCATAACGTGGAACTCTAAAAACTATAGTGGCACCTAACGCCGGGTGGGTTGTCTGACGAGTCGGCTGAATTCGGTATCCACTTCGGATTTCCTCGGTATAGTGAATTCGGCTTCTTCCGTGGTCACCAGACAAGTACAAGCACACTAATACCTTCTGACTTTCAGATGATCGCGTTTAAGTGGTCTGGTGGTGCAGGTGCATCTTGATCCCTAGTTCTGTCGTTACCATGGTGATTCACTACCCGCGTGCCGCCTGCTCTCACAATGCTGGGTGAACCTACCCAACCGGCGGTACACAACCAGCGTTATAGCGAGGCTTGGAGGGATATATACGTACAGCGAGCGAGCGATCGCCGAGGTGGTGGTGACTATCCCGTCTACTCTCCACACTGAACACTCACGACCGTAATACAGGCCTATCGATTAAAATAGACACACCACACACTCGTATCCCATATCCCAACTTGATCTGAGGTTATCCTTGCATGGACATATGCACTAACAACCACACCGAGGAAACCGACACGCACTGCACGCTTTCCCGCGAATAACTAGGTCAACACCAGTGGTGGTGTGTCTGGTCGTTTGTATTGCAGGTCACATTGCAGCAGACGTCACAGCAGACGACTTGGGACAAGATTTATTTGGTGTAGCCATAGGTATGATATCATGTCATGTTTCAATTAGCACACATTTAACAACAAAACTATACTATGTGTTATGTGTTCAATCTTACCTTGGAGCATACAAAGTGGTATGGTTTTATTTTGTGCACGTTAAGTCTATCTGCCGGACGACCACAAGCTGCTATCCACCGAAGACAATCCTGAAGTCTCGTTTTGGGTTTAGGAAACGGATGAAACGAGATTGGATGCTGTTCCCTGTGGAGATACCGGGAGTCGCAGTGACAATCGCCCCACACACAAGCCTTATTTTTCACCATGATGAAAACAATTAATCCTGTCCCAAGTCGTCAAAGAAAGCCACACACAACATGACGATTTGATTTGATATGTGCAAAGCGCGGTCCACGGTTAATGATCCTCACTGCATCCGGAAACAGCAGGTGCGAGCAGCACCTTGTCACGTGACCATATCCCCGCACGGTTGGTATGAGGTTCTCGTTACAGGGAAGGGATAACAGGATGTATATCACAGGCGTTATAACGAGGAATACACTGCGGGTGACTGTTTCTCCTTCCCTTTGAAGACCAGGTACAGGGAAGTGGGTTAAACCTAATTGTACAAACTAACCATTGGGGTGCTCTCCGAGGTATTAGCGATACGAGCTTATGTTGTTTTATGTAGTAGTTACCGAGATACCGCGGCGGTTTGTAATCAGTGGTTGGTCCACGTTGTAGGGGTAAATGTTGACACCATCCACGTTGTAGGGGTAAATGTTGACACCATCCACGTTGTAGGGGTAGATGTTGACACCATCCACGTTGTAGGGATACATGTTGACACAATCAACGTTGTAGGGGTAAATGTTGACGACATCCACGTTGTAGGGATACATGTTGACACAATCCACGTTGTAGGGGTACATGTTGACACAATCCACGGTGTAGGGGTACATGTTGACACAATCCACGGTGTAGGGGTAAATGTTGACACCATCCACGTTGTAGGGATAGATGTTGACACAATCCACGTTGTAGGGGTACATGTTGACACAATCCATGTTGTAGGGATACATGTTGACACAATCCACGGTGTAGGGGTACATGTTGACACAATCCACGGTGTAGGGGTAAATGTTGACACCATCCACGTTGTAGGGGTAAATGTTGACACAATCCACGTTGTAGGGGTACATGTTGACACAATCCATGTTGTAGGGATACATGTTGACACAATCCACGGTGTAGGGGTACATGTTGACACAATCCACGGTGTAGGGGTAAATGTTGACACCATCCACGTTGTAGGGGTAAATGTTGACACAATCCACGTTGTAGGGGTAAATGTTGACACCATCTACGTTGTAAGGGTAAATGTTGACACTTTCCACGTTTTTGATGTTGACACCATCCACGTTGTAGCGATACATATTGACACAATCCACGGTGTAGGGGTAAATGTTGACACCATCCACGTTGTAGGGGTAAATGTTGACACAATCCACGTTGTAGGGGTAAATGTTGACACCATCTACGTTGTAAGGGTAAATGTTGACACTTTCCACGTTTTTGATGTTGACACAATCCACGTTGTAGCGATACATATTGACACAATCCACGGTGTAGGGGTAAATGTTGACACCATCCACATTGTAGGGGTAAATGTTGACACAATCCACGTTGTAGGGGTAAATGTTGACACCATCTACGTTGTAAGGGTAAATGTTGACACTTTCCACGTTTTTGATGTTGACACCATCCACGTTGTAGGGGTAAATGTTGACACTTTCCACGTTTTTGATGTTGACACCATCCACGTTGTAGGGGTAAATGTTGACACCATCCACGTTGTTGATGTTGACACCATCCACGTTGTAGGGGTAAATGTTGACACCATCCACGTTGTAGGGATACATGTTGACACAATCCACGTTGTTGGGATACATGTTGACACAATCCACGTTGTAGGGGTAAATGTTGACACCATCCACGGTGTAGGGGTAAATGTTGACACCATCCACGTTGTAGGGGTAGATGTTGACACCATCCACGTTGTAGGGGTAAATGTTGACACCATCCACGTTGTTGATGTTGACACAAACCACGTTGTAGGGGTAGATGTTGACACAATCCACGTTGTAGGGGTAAATGTTGACTCAATCCACGTTGTAGGGGTAGATGTTGACACCATCCACGTTGTTGATGTTGACACAAACCACGTTGTAAGGGTAGACTTTGAAACAACCCACGTTGTAGGGGTAGATGTTGACACCATCCACGTTGTAGGGGTAGATGTTGACACATTCCACGTTGTAGGGGTAGATGTAGACACAAACCACGTTGTAAGGGTAGACTTTGAAACAACCCACGTTGTAGGGGTAGATGTTGACACCATCCACGTTGTAGAGGTAGACGTTGACACATTCCACGTTGTAGGGGTAGATGTTGACACAAGCCACGTTGTAAGGGTCAACGTTGACACAATCCGGCAACAATCAATATGCGTGAATTTAATAACATAATTTCTAACTTGTAGTCGAGTTGTGTCCCTTATCAGTACCAGGATCTACTTGTCCCAGATCCAGCCCAAGTATTGTCTCAGGTCAAGTCCAATAATATTGCTTTATTGTCTTTTGGCACCAACATATACTGTAACATAACTGATAAAAATATACTAGTATTTCAGTCCAAAGGGGTTTGCCTCACTCACTCACTCACTCACTCACTCTCCGCAATGGATGTCTTGGTTGGATTGGTATAGTCCACTGAGACTCTCGGGACGTACATTGCATACTCACGCACTCACTCACTCATTCACTCGGAGGCACAAGCACAGTGCCCAGCACGAATTAGTAATTCAAGAGCATGCAGACTTCATGTCTGTTCAGTCCCTGCATATTTCCCCATGATCGCAACACCCCATTTAACTTACCTTTGAGCAGACAAAATGATATTTTTTAATTTTGTCAATGTTGAGACGTTCGAACGACCTCCCGCATGCGACAATCCACCGCATGCTGTCATGGGGCCTCCTCTTTGGTTTGGGAAAAGGGTGAAAGGTCACGTCGGTCATGTGACCCTTGTGCCGATACCTTGTATCGCTGTTGCAGTCTCCCCACACACATCGCTTCGTCTTGCCCATCTCACACAGGCGGGAGGGAGCACAGGGATTCTCGAAGCTATCCTTGCCTGAATCGTCTTCACCAGCACCGACTCCTGCCTTGACTCGCGTCTGAGAGATGTGGGCAGTTCAATAACGGCATATGCACTCCCCTTGAGACCGACCGACAGTAAGGGAGTTCAAAGACACCACGTGACTAGCGGGTCTCTCCACGAGGAGCTTCCAGATCCGCGATAACGATTTTCATGTTGAACACGCACGATGTCGTCTAGGCCGCTTCGTCAGATCCCCTTTACTTACGTTCTGTTTATCTGTTACAAGCACTGACCCAAACATAGATCCAATATATTCTGACCCAATGGGTATGCAACGCTATAACGACCCCTATCCCCAATATATTCTGACCCCATGGGTATGCAACGCTATATCGACCCCTATCCCCAATATATTCTGACCCCATGGGTATGCAACGCTATAACGACCCCTATCCCCAATATATTCTGTCCCCATGTGTATGCAACGCTATATCGACTCCTATCCCCAATATATTCTGACCCCATGTGTATCATCGCTATATCGACTCCTATCCCCAATATATTCTGACCCCATGGGTATGCAACGCTATATCGACTCCTATCCCCAATATATTCTGACCCCATGTGTATGCAACGCTATATCGACTCCTATCCCCAATATATTCTGACCCCATGGGTATGCAACGCTATATCGACCCCTATCCCAAATATATATTGACCCTATGGGTATGCAACGCTATATCGACTCCTATCCCCAATATATTCTGACCCCATGGGTATGCAACGCTATATCGACCCCTATCCCAAATATATATTGACCCCATGGGTATGCAACGCTATATCGACGCCCTATCCTCAATATATTCTGACCCCATGGGTATGCAACGCTATATCGACCCCTATCCCAAATATATATTGACCCTATGGGTATGCAACGCTATATCGACTCCTATCCCCAATATATTCTGACCCCATGGGTATGCAACGCTATATCGACCCCTATCCCAAATATATATTGACCCTATGGGTATGCAACGCTATATCGACTCCTATCCCCAATATATTCTGACCCCATGGGTATGCAACGCTATATCGACCCCTATCCCAAATATATATTGACCCCATGGGTATGCAACGCTATATCGACCCCTATCCCAAATATATATTGACCCTATGGGTATGCAACGCTATATCGACGCCCTATCCTCAATATATTCTGACCCCCTATGGGTATGCAACGCCATATACATCCCTACCCTAAAAATATTCTGAAACCCATGGATAATCAACGCTATATCCACCCCTATCCCCAAACCTATTCCCTATCAGACACCCCCCCACGCCGGATATGCAACGTTATAACCACCCAAAACACCAATACATAACACCCAAATGCTATACCCAGCCGTTACACACACACGCACGCACACACCGGATATGCAAAGCTATATCCACCCCAATACGTATCACCCAATCAAAATGCTATACCCACCCGTTACTCCAATATAATTTTACCCTTCATGGGTATGCTGTGTTGTATCCACCCCATCTACCGGGAAGTATGGAGACTTGCCTTAGATCTCCTCCGTCTCCCGCTGGAGGGCTGGTGGTTGTGTCCCTTGTTGTTGTCGGTCTCGAACACACACTCACTGTTGGTGATCACCATGGCCGAACAGCCTCTGGTCGTGCATCGCCACGTGATGCTTCCCGCTATACTTTTATAGTGGTAACTGTACTTATAGCCACTGTGCGTTATACAGTCCGCCCCTCGAGTCGTCACGCTTTTC